TCGAGCGATTGCGTCAGTATTTATCGTGACCTTTTTTTACGGTAATATTTTTCAGCGTATAAATACTCGCTAAGACGAACCTGTTTTTACAATGGAAAGGCAAGCACACGTAACGGCGACCATGAAAGTCAGGGACGTTCCTCGACATGTTAAGAATTTTCATTTCGAATCTTCTACGATTAGGACACGTATTGACGTGTAATCAAATTTTCAATTTTATGTATGTCAAAGGAAAAAAAAAAAAAAAAAAACGTAAAGATGCTTTTCGTCAACGTCAAATTCTGAGCCTCGGATCGAACATCCGTACGTTCAATTTCAAAGTATGTTTATTTCACATTCCCTCAGAGACACGTATGCAACTTTGAGATAGCAAACAAGTACAGTCTCTTTGAAAAGAGATATTCATCTCAATCAAACGGATAGTCTTTACGGACTCGTGTCCAGGACACTTTCTTTGTGCGATGTAGCTGTAGGAACATATACTATGAATAAACACTCTTTCGCAAAGGCGAATCATAATATATCCAGCGCGACTACGGTGTGCTATGACATTCAGCTACTGTACAGCACCTGCTAGACGATTATAATATAGTATCGAGAGTCTATTGAATGAAATTTATTGAGTTTAAGAGGCATCGAAAATTAAGGAAAAGCTAAGGTGGGCCCGTGAGACAAAGTTTACCACCGGACTTCAATAAAACTGATCGGACTTGTAAAAGTCAGTTCGTTGGGAGTAATGAAAAAGGAGAGAAAAAAACTAAAAAATTGTCAAATGGCACTGACTAACTGTTCCCTCCTTAAGGATTTGCTGCATCGCAGAACGAGTGTAGAAAGTGGAGAAATGGAAATAAGTTCGAGGTAGCTTATCAAAAAATAGGTTTTTAGGCGTTCGATATTGATTTGTCAAAAAGTCCTTTCGAGCCAGTTCGCCACTTTCGTCCACGACGAAGACAGTATAAAAACCTTAAAACTGATAACTGCGAATGCCAATGATACGTATATGGACTCGAATAAATCCAATATACCCGATATCCATGAAACATATTCTTAATGCTTAACAAGTTAATATCAATAGCCATGACCTATGCGAATTTAGCATATTATTTCTTTTTTAATTAATAAACGAAAAAAAAACAACTTCTATTTGCATTTTGGAACTCTGAATAAAAAACTTAGACATCTCTGTTTGTCCTCGCGGCTACGAGATGCTGCTGGGTTAAGGAAAAAAATTTTACGAACAATTTGTCCCTGGAACCATTGTCACAACGTACTGAGAACTATAGAACTTTGCAAGAACTATACAATCCCGTTCATAAAATAGCTGAATTTTTATAACGAAATGCTGCCGGTAGTTACATTCTTAACCGTTGAAATGTACTGGGTTTAATCAACGGAACTTGTTGAAATGTATCTAAAAAATATACAGCTACGACGCATACAAACGGAACGTGTTTCTTTTTCCTCAGATTAAACAAAAATTTGTATCCTAGGTTCAGAGTCACAGCAGCGCCAGAAAATGATGTTCCAAATAAATTGTCCTCGTTCGCTCGTTCGCTCGTTCGTCCGTCGTAACGAGCAACGTGCTATCTGAATAGCTCGAAACTACTTGCATCATCCAATCAACAAGGCGCCGACATAAATTACAGTGGATCTTTGTGTCGTGCAAAATTTGCGAACATCGCATGAAACTTCGTCTGCATTCGCGTTTGAGAATTCTGTCGCTCTTGTCTTTCGCTCTGTCTTGGCGTGCAAACAAGATTGCGGGACGCACACAACACGCACACGCCCATATATATATATATATAACATCTTTCGAGTGAACGCGTCCTACCGAAACTCAGTCGCAATTTGATTTACCTTAATGCCAAAGGTTAACGCAACGCGCCACCGGCTGATTAAGCATTCAACGTCTCCGTTGTGTGCGCGCGAACGCGAGATACTTATTTCAAGTTTATAACGATAAGCAGAGTGCGGCGTATCGAATGTTGCAAATACTTTGTCACGTACTTTGCCGCCTTTGTGTCGCGGGGGGTACGTGACGTTTAAACTCACGAAAACTCACACGTAGTCAATGGCTACGCGTTAAAGATCCAGAATCAGCGAGGAACTTCTGTCGCTGCCGCAAGAAATCCTAATTATATTTTGCGTTAATTCTTGGTGAATTGTACGCTCTGCTACTCCGTCCGGCCCGTAACGGTAGCATTGGGAAGAAACTGCCTAATGCCTGCATTGCGGCTGCTTTCCGAATGCTTAATGTTTCAACGAGATGCATGATTAATTATAACTTTTAATTTACCCCATTGACCCGTGACGTCCTCCAAACTATATGGTTAATTAAAACTGCACACGACGAAATAGAGTTTGACACAACTTTTAGCATCGGACTATATAAATAACTGACGCACGTGACGATCGATTCTCCCGCATGAATCTACACGCTCAGAGCAATTGGGATGTCTTATCGTTATCATTCTTTATCAATTGTTAATCGAGCGAACGTGTCGTTCTACGAAAGCAAAATTGATACAAGGGTGGCAATGATTCGCTGTGACAAAAATACAGATGAATGGATCGATCCAAATTATTTCGATTCTGCTTTCCAGTTGGCTATAACTCTTTGTGTGGTTAATGTTCTGATTTGATAAATAATGTTATCTATGCAGGTAATGAATCGAACTCCATGGGGCGTCGTTCAATTTACTGAGGTCGCGAAGTCAAAGTTAAGAAAAAAATTTTGTTCCACAAAAAATATATGTAATGCTAGAACACATCACAGCGAAGCAGACTTTCTCTGTTGTCTCACTTGTAAAACGATGTGACGGCAAATTACTGTAAGATAATTAACTTTCACATATCTCAATAGCAGATGGCCATATGTAAATACCTTACACTGACGATAATCAGGTTTTGTTTGATGACACGATTCGTTATGTAGAGCATGTGATCGTGAATGGTCATCTTATTAAGAGAAGAAAGGAAAAAAAAAGACCATCAAGGAAATTCGTTTCAACGTAATTAAAATCAAAATGAACGATAAAATAAATTTCACGCACAGTAGAATATAAACGTACGTTGTGGCAATATGCATATGCATACTCTAACTCTCTGTTTTCCGCAATCTCGAACGTCCTCATTTTCGCTATGCAACTTTTTTAATTTAGAAGAAAACCAGCCAGCTACTCGTTACTCCTTGCAGGCGCGTTTGAATTTTCGCAAAACCCCACAACCGCTGTTACGATGAATAATGCAAATGACTGCTGGTTAATATCGACTTTTCTTTTTCGTAACTTTGATCGATAAGTATTTCATATTTGGTTGATATTACGAACATTTAGAATTTTGACTAAGTTTTATATTTTCTGCGTGCACCTGAGAAATGCAACTTCGAGTGTTCTATGTGTAAGGCTGCTAATAGTCGTAAGCATAACGTTACTCTTGGAATGTGTCCTATTCATAGTCATTTGTGTTAAGTGACTGTTCCGTTATTCTTAAAACGTGGGAACGTTATGGAGTAACGACATTTTGTGGTTTGAAGAAATTATGGAAATGCTAACCCTAAAATTATTTCATTATCTTGGTTAATAGTTGGAGCGATACAAAAATCAGAAAAAATATTGGTAAAAACGAGGTCAAATCTCTTAACTGCAACAAGGATGACCTCACGAAAAAAGATTTGAATAAACAGCAATTAACGTGGTGTAGATGTTGCGCAACTCTTCGAAAGATTAATGATTTTTGCTATGGAACGAAGTACACTCGGTTGAAATATTATAATTTTTTATAATATTGTCAAATTGTAACAAGGTAATGGATATTAGTGTACGTGACGGTTTACGTCGTGTAATTGAATGATATTAAATCATTTTTCAGTTTAATGCGGACGCGATGCTTCTATGAAAATTTCATTGCAGCTGAATGCATTTGCTCAAGATGCTCCACGGATAAAGGATATATAGTATTTAATTTCGTTTACGTAGTTTGAAGAAATTAAGTGATCCCCATGATATTGCGTTTCTTTCTGAATCCATATTAATTTTAGTAAAGCTGCTTTTAATAAAAGTGTCTTTACAGTAATACATTTTGCTTATAAAGCATTCCTTGCCATTATCTTTATCCACAGTTTTAATTGCTTTTTATCTCAACCTTCTTCTGTATATATCTTCTTTGCACAGCAGACGTTCAGAAAAGTTACGAAACTTTAAAACTTCACAATTAACGGCTGATTCGTCACAAAAGTTCACCTTTGATATTCTCTCACGACCAAAGACCATGAGGACCATAAAAAATTAACATTATGAAAATTCCACTCGTAAGAATTGTATAGCGCACCATGCAATTAGAAAAATTCCAAAAGTATGTCAGTGCCAACAAAAAAATAAATCATGCAAACGTTTCACATGCAAGATATAAAATCTAACCATTTTTTTTTTTACTTAAATAACGTCTGTGATTTGGACCAAGCCAAAAATATTAATGATTGAAACTTCAGTTTGTCATTGTACCGTACGTCACTTAATTTACCGTACACTCATCGTGTCAGGTTCGTTATTTAGACAGCTATGGAATCGATCATCCACAGTTGCCCGTTTCCGAACTTTGTGCTTTCGTTGATTCCTCGTGTTTAACGCGAAAGGCATTTAACTTTGGCAGGTCCCAAATTCTGTGACTCAACATACCAAATCGTTACCAGTTTCTCCATAACGTATGGCGCAATAGCACGTATACTTTTGAAAAGTTTCCCGTAAGTTTCACACCTCGACGCTCCTCGTACTGTATGAAGTACCGGCTACCACGTCATAGCAATACGTATAGTGATACAAGTAAATACTCTCAGGGATTTCTCTTTCTTATTCTTAACAAAGTTGCCTATAACACACCCATATAAGGACATAATCCGCATTCAATTATCGTAGAAAGCCACATGGAATTCGGAAACGCGCACCTGCGTCTACACAAAATATAGCACAGTGATGAAGAAACAATTTAAAATGAAACCGCACCTTGAACGGACGTAGCGCAGATGATCCCAAGGCAGACCCAGATGATCGTCATCATGCGATGGTGGTTAGATGCTGTCGCGCACATCTCACTGTATCACTTAACAAAATTCACGAACTTTTAAAGTTGATCACTGGAAGTTAATCGCAATGCGATGTCAATAGGATGTCGACTCGGCGCGGAATTCAACCGAATAGTTCGACGCACGAAGACTGTCTGGCGCGCGCCGCGCATTCGGACCACTTCGTGAGACTTCGGCTCGTGCCGGAAACACCCGAGTTCCCGATCCTTTCTGATAGTAAAGCCAAGTGATACTCGGTTCTATTCCTGCATACACACTTTCGCTCAAGTTAGTCTCCCGTATTCACGTGTAACGGTTATCTATAATATCTTGGAATAACTAAGTGATAGGAAAGATAAAATAAGATATAATAAGATGAAGTGCAATATATGAAAGACAGGAATTCTACCTTTGTTTTTTGCGATCTTCTCGCAATGCGACGCTACGGCATTGCGACTTTTTCTTAATGCTGATGCAGCTTTGTTCTAGTCTCGACAAAGCCTGTTTTCACGATAAATGGTAAGTAGGTACCTATGGGATTGATTTACGTAGAATCGTGTAACTGAACATAACGAATCCTTGTATTGACTGAATATGAAATAGAAATTGTTTTTGGGAGACAGAAATTATTGAACATCAGCCTCCTTTGTCTCGACTGATATTTATTTGCATTTGCATGAGTTTTTTGATATTCATGACGAATTAATATATGCAGCTTGAGCCGATACGGCAAACGTACAAGAATCCAACGGAAGAATGTTATTCGTTGAGGCTGCTGGTGTCATTCTATAGATATATCAAAATGACGGTTGTATCGGAACTTCATTTGAAGTCTGTGTGGGATTGATGTATCGTTTTTTTTTTACCTGGATCATCCACTTGGTATTATAGTAAGTCCTTTTCCACCTCAGGTTTTATATTTTCAATAAATGAATGTTCACCTACTCAATAGCAAATTCAGTGGGGAAAAAGTATATCTGCAGCTGTGAAAATGGTAAATGAAATACCTATGGCGTATAAAAATGCTTTAATAGAGTGCAATATCGTACAATAATATTGTACCAGTCCTATTAAATATGTATTGATTGTTAAGCAAAAATATGTGTTCCCTGAAATTTGGTAATCGTTACCCAGGGTTATTTTTTCTGTACAGTTCTATAGTGTTTACGTTTGTTACTTGTTTACCTAAGATATGGCTGTAGGCGATCCGCTGATTAAATTTTCTCGCTGGCCACTCCCAGACCGCATACGTCCCATTTTTAGACAATATATCATGGACCTACACGTTGGGCACTGTAGATAAAAATTAGGCAAATATGTATTTTCAAAACAAGATAATGGTATGCCATGGCAGACAGAAGCGAAAGCATCTTTTTAGAAATCTACTACAGATAGACACAGCTTCATACTAAATAATACAATAAAATTCTCTTTACCATAATTTCACAAAAATTCAAATGAACTTGACCCGGCTACTCCACGTGTACAGATTAATGAAATTTTTGAAAATTACATTTCAAAGATATGGTTAATCACTTTCAGCGGTCATTTTGCAAATGCTACTGCAAATTCAATGTAAAATTAATGACATTCGGATCATCGACTTTTGACCGCGCAACGGGTGTTTGCACTTTTAATTAAACCTAGTTGAATACTCTATTGATTGCTGTCGAAACTAATTTAATGATTTTTCAATAACGTTTCAGGTATTTATTGAAGGCATTGAAAATCATCTGTAAACACTTTTTCAAATATCTAATTTAGGTCACTTTGTTATAAGTATTGCATCGTATAGCAAATTCTCCTTTGTTAATATGATACCGCATGCTGTATGTTTCATGTTACATAATGTTTCAGGGACTACTTTAATATAGTGCCATCAGGTGGCAGTATACGACATAGTGTCTCCCTAGTGAATGACAACACGCCATACACGAGAGTATTTCACATAGTCTACGGCTTACTTTCGTGACGGGAACGTTAATCATCCCATGCTGTATTAGTTAATTATTACTAAAACTTATCTCATGTACGAAATTTTTTAATGCGGTATTCCTGCCGACAGACAACCACGAAAAGTCTGCGCACGATACAAAACTTCATTCCCGCTGGACAGCTTATCCTTAGCCTCCACTTTAGCTAAAGTAACTATAAATCTTCGAAACACGGTATTCCCTATTTGATGATTCAAACTATGTTTTGCATGTTTGCGTGAAACCCTTTAATTTTCATAAAGGTGAGCATCGTTCTGTCCAATCAGCGTGCATTCACGTGGTTTGAATACTTGCTCATTAGTTTGATTTAAATTGCAGGGTCGTGATTTTGATAGATTTGTGTGATTTAAACAAAAATTTGTTCGTTTCATGGTCTATGAGTGTGCACTTATTAGTGTCCTGTCCGAAAAATATATATACAGTGTAAACGGATTCGTATACCTAACAGGCTAGCTTAGTTTGATTGAGTAAAAAATAATTGATTTTGACAAATAAAAAATTTGTCAATTTGACAAGCATTACGTTGAAAAATAACAAATTGCATTCTAGTGAGGTGATATGTTCCATCGGTATGATGTGTCGCAGCATTCTCGAGATACCGAGATTAATTCGGAAACACAAGAAGTTAGGTTTCAGGACGGGGTTAGATACGGGGTTGTTATGCTAACAGGGTGTTGTCCCCTTAGCGCTGGAAACACCCGTAGAATCGTAATTAGCGTCCCCTAACGCCGTCATTTATCTTTGCTACTTCCAATTTAGGCCAAGGGTTGATTGCCTGTTTATTTTTGGATGTCGACGGTCGCGGTACACTTATTTTCTCTTAATGGCTTCTACGGGTGCAGATTTCCGAATTCGCTAAAGAATGCAAATCAGCTGCCTCGGACAAAATCGTTCGATAAGTCTACCATAACGAAGCGTAGAGTTCCGTATAATGGGAGTAAGCCTTCCTTATCCTCAAATACTAACAATATCGATAACGTTAAAATAGTATGCAATATTGTCGGCAGACGTAACACCTTCAGCCCGTATATAATATATTCAGTTAAGTAATATTTTGCACTAATAAAAATTGACGATATTACTTAAAATTTTCGATTTAATATCACGAGATTTCTAGCAAATTATACATACCCACGAGTATGCATTTATTTAGAAAATAAATCATGAAAAATCAGTGAGTTCGTTCAAGCACGAATTAAATGAACGACCCCTACACACATGTATTATATACATATTCATATACCGCCATCAGAAGTAAAAGGAGAATTGTAAAGTTTTGCAGTTAGCTCAATTGGTACGTAGTGCCCAGGCGTTTCGGGCGTTATAATCATCTATTGAGACACAAGTGTGCAAACGAATGCAGTGCCTAGTAGGCAGTTGTACAGAGAGGCATTTAATATTGCAGGTATTTGCCCGGTGCAGCGTCACGGACGGTTGGGTCGAGCACTGGTAATGTCGGATATGGATATTAAAATCGTTGGCATACTCATGCTACCGAGTATTTATACGATTTCAGTTCCGAGCTTTTCTACAGATTGAATTTTTATTGTCTCGCCGGAGTGACTCTGAGTATACCCGGCAGTTCAGCTTTCCAGCCAAGATCTACCATGAGGTGTCAAACTTGCCACCAAGACTGGGTACATAAGACCGAAACGATATTTTACAAATGGAATTCGATGTCCTTTCCATCCGATAGGCTTTAAAATCTCCCAATTTTACTTGCAGCTACGACTGCCTGTTTAACAGCCACCGGCGACAAGCGTGTCGCCATTCGTGCAATGTCACTTACGGAAATTACGAAACACTAGTGGACCCTATGCTAGCCAATTACCGTTAGCATTGTGTATTTGACAGACAGCGTTCATGCAAAGTTCACAAGAAGTTACATGAAAGCGTATACGTCGACAGGGCAACGCTTTATATCCTGATATGTATTAAACAAACAGAATTCAAAGTACTCACCGAGAATGCTATGTTTACGTGTCGAAATTCACAAAGGGGCTAATTATTTCCAGGTAGTTAAACGCTCAGGGTTGATTGGCGCGACTGCAGACATTGAATCGGAGTTTCCGATTTTGCGCAATTGGATACAGAAGACTGTTGAAATTAAAATTATAATGGTTAGGCGAGATAGCGATATTCATGAATATTTCGTAAAGTTTTTAATTAAAATTGTGAATAACAAAAAAATTAAGAAATACATAGATTTAGTATAAAGTGAGTGAAAATCAGAGCAGATATCATTTACGTGATGATCTGTATTTATTTTATTTCGATAATGCATTGTATCATGTTATTATACGAGATTTCTTATTGAAAGTCGGTTGTCGGTGATTAATGTATATGCAGACTTCTTACTGCACTAGGAGCCCATGCAGGTGAGGCGAACGACCTACAGAATATATATATATATTTTTTTTTACGTCGCACAGAACTGTACAGTTGTCCTGTACAAGATAAATCCCTAAGGAACACAGCAATGCGAATGTCTGCTGATGGCTTAAGAAAACAGCGAAAGCTCATTTCGCTAAAAGAAAACTTGTTCTAATTCTGGTAGAAGATTAGTAGTGAGGCGGTAACCAGATTACTCTAGTTTAAACTCAGCCTTTCCTCCGTTTCCGTCCACATCGCGTTGAGCTTCACAGCCGAAGTACCTGCATGCCTCTAGGCACTGTACGGACGAGTAACCACTTTGCTCATGTTTATATAACCCAGAACTTCTAATGAGTTTCACGAGCCGAAATTGACAGTCGCCGGAACTATCATTCCCTGCGAGACAATGACATTTGTCAAGTCTTAGAATTGACAAGAGACTTTGGCAATTGTTGAAAACAATTGAAACTTCGGGAATCTCCTCGGACCATCTATCCTGATATCAGCATGATATAATTCAATGAGTACTTTGACAGCTTACGGAAGAAATTATTATCAGTATATATCATACGAAATGCGACTGAGTAACGAGACTTTTCGAATTTATGGCGGGCACAATGAACAGTTCGTAGAACCTGAATGATACAGGGTAGTACGTAATTGGACGTATGAAGATGCCATTGAATCTTCTTCACAATGTCGTCTGGTATCGATTTTCAATATTTGGTATCGACAGTAACTGTACCGTAGCCACGTGTATAACTGTGATCCACAAATACTGGGTTAGATAATATTATGCAATAGACAACAGGAAAAAATGTTATTGCTTATTTGTCTTGGATAATAATTAAACACGAATCCTTATATTGTACATATGAATATTGATGATTGTTATTAGTTGGTTAGATAACTTGTTCAACACTGTATATTACCTAATTCTCCCCTAACATTATACAAGTTCGAAATTTCACTCGACCTTCGAAATTAACCTAATTATTAAATAAACCCTTGAAACAGATCCACGTGGTTCCACGTAGCTCCGACCTTCTCTCGAAAAACCTTTTTGGATTAACTCTAATGAAAGCTTGATGAAATTAGGTAAGAATTGCAGGCGACCCTTACTAAATTTCCGGCCGTCGAAATATCCTCCAGACAAAGAAACGTCATGCCCGAAGGTCAAGTAAGTAATTTTCCTAGAATACAAATCTATAACCGCTTTAGGTATAATCGGACGCAAAGGGTTCGTGTAAAATTGAATGTTTTATATATTTTCTCAGATTCTCGACGGGTCGACGTAACGAGACTTCGGTGCAGGTGAAAGAAAAATCTGGCTGGTGGAAAATTTTCCACAAGTGCGACATTCTACTTCCGAAGTGGGTAACGTGTTCCTTTTGTTCTCCAATTATGCCCTACGTAATTTTAAATGCCCATCGCAAAGTGGCCACTGAACATTCCATCTGCTTCAATTAGTCAAGCCTTTACTGTGTGCCATTTCGTGTTCTACTATAAGTATTGTACTCGTTTAGAGAAGGCAACATTGAGCGAAGCAAGGCACGTGGTTTGACACTCGATGGTCATCTGTGAATTGGAAGACGAGGGTAGTGCAGGACATCTGGAAACAATTCAGTAACCCTTGCGGATGCGTGCCAGCACTCTCCTCACTACTATACTATCACGCCTTAAGGAGAACGCAGTGCCCGACTTTCTCCTGTATTGTCATAGCAATGTTTATGTTTTTTTTAAGTGTATATGTCGAGAGTTAGATGACTCGAACATATTTCAACTGCAGTAATACTTGATCTGGAGAAGCCGAACCGAGCAGAGCATCTCCTTGGCAATTCTGTATGGTGTTCCACAAAAAAATGGCTGTACTTTGTAATGCAGCAAGAATAGCAAATTACGTGTGCTCAATAATACAGCGTGTTCGACCAAGCAAGGTTTTTTGGTGCAACCAATACTGTATACAGTATATTTTAGTAAATATAACTTTGAACAGTGTACTCCGCATTTATTAAAAATTGTATTATATTCTATATAACGGGTAGTTTAACTCGCCATGAAGATATATCGTATATTGTTATTAGCGATTTCAGGTATCTCAATTTTACTGAAGCACGATGCACGGCAGTGGCAAATTAAATTTTGTAATTTTCTAAATTACTCATCGTAAAATAACATGCATGAAAATTATTAGTGGTTCGTTCCAAAACTGATTTGATAAAGGAGTCCCGGAGATCCAGCTCGAACAGGAGTTATTACTGGTTGAAGTGCCACCGAGTAAATTCGCGCGCAGCCGACGTGCGCCAGTGGATTTACTTTTCTACTTGGAGAAGGTAATAACTCACAATGGGGTTATTGAGAAGATCGTTATTTTGACAATCCCGGAAGTTGTCGCTCCTCGATTCCGCAGTCCATTGTAGGTAAAGACTTAACCTTGTGTTCCCTTAAACGCATAATTCAATTAAAGGAAAAATTAACGAATTCAGTTTCTCGTGAAAATAATGATTTTATAATAAAATATCAACAAGAGATTTACCGCGAAGACATAAAAGTAAAGCCAAAGTTGATCTATGAGAATTGTATAAATGTGTAAGTAAATTTCCTTTTTCCGAAAACGACGTCGCTTCGTTTGAATAAGTTGTTGAATTCGGAAATGGCTTATTTCATAGAAAGATATACTTTCGAGCTCATCAAATACAGTTAGGGACCGGCGCGAAGACGTCGTTGTAATTTATTGTGGTTGCTGAGGACAGGTAGTTGGGTATAGCGTGGGCAAATGACCTGAAAAGTGTAAGGGGGTAACACAGCCAGTGGAAAAGATGAACAAGAAGAAGAGGAGGCAACGCGTGACGTTATTAACAAAAAAAGCTCGCAAGCTGAAACGACCGGAATTGCCATTTACTCTATCCCACCGCTTCCCTCTCGTGTACAGCAACGAAATTTAGGTTCCACTTACGGACTTCTCGTATCCATTGAGTAGAAAAATTGTCTAGACACTTTGGATTTAATTAAATTCGAAAGAGTATCGACATTTCACATTATCCACTGTCACTGTGGATCTCAATGCGATTGTACGACTTGGCAAATTTATTAATAAAAATCATTGCGAATAGGTTGAATTAACATATTTCACAACGTTCATTGAAAATTGAAAATTGAAGCAAGAAACAAATGAATCTTGTGTAATACTAAATAATGGAATTTCATGGAAAATATCATCTGCTTACAAAGCAAGCGTCCGAGAAGTTGGGATACAATTGTACCTTGCATATAACGAGTAATGCAACACTGTGAAACAATTTTGGAGCTGAGAAATGGCTAGCAGGCGGTGTTCTACTCGTATTTAATATTATTTTAATTTCACGAAATGAAACTTTTTTAATCCCTTTTTTTTCTTTACAAGCAAACTTAGCACGGAAATTGCAATGCACCATTGTTTCTCGGTTTCACGCATCGTTGTACTTCGCCATCGGTATGGACGGGGACATGGAGTCGTCTCGTTGAAATTCGAAAAACTACTGGGCAGTGCAGCTGATACGATGGAACAAAAAACGAGAGCAAGAAAATATGACCAGACGCAGAAATACAGCGTAGGATATTTTGTTACTTACTAACGAAGCGGTTACCGTTTCAAGCATAAAAGCATACGGATTCCTAACGGCGTGGTACAGCATTATAATTTTTCTCACGGTTAAAAGAAAATACAAAAAATATTCATCAGTCAGGTTGTCAAGGGGCATATATAGGTACACGTGTAATACAAAAGGCATACATTAAGGGATATAGTCGGATAGACAGGATAGGGATAGCTCGCCATTTAAACGGAAGGAGTGAGGTGCACGCAGTGTAGGTCAGTACCTTAGGGATTCCATTTAATCACTGGTAGTGTGTTTCAATGTTGATTAATTAACGTAAGCAGCAGGAACAACAATTGGTGGCTACGCGTACGTTAATAGTTGTACAATGCCGTAACCTATGACGATACTATAAAATAGGAAGTCACGAAATAAACACAAGTATAACTATACAGCGTATATACCACCATGCAATTGTAATGTGTTAATTATCACAAATGAGAATATATTCGCACAGCCCTAAACATCTTACGTAACATAATCGATTTGTCCTCTCCAAAGCATTCATCTAGCCTAATCGTAACATCAAATAAGAGTTATACGGATTACTGCGAGTCCAATGTAGGGAAGTAATGGTGGCTGGGGCAAGAAGCGGCATCGATTCCCTGGCAGTACATCCGTGTAATCCGGACCATCCACGAGTCGACTTTTTACAGCCTCTCGACTAATTTATCTTCCTAAGCCCTGGCGGCATCTCATACATAAATCCTCCTGGTCAACTGACCAGCTCGCCACCTCTATCTTAACTTGGCTCGCATTTCCCGTCTTTCAGCGAGTGCATTCATACGCGCCGATCCTCCTTGCTGCATTAAGGACTCCGTTGAACTAAAGCACTTGGGTAGGGGATCGCTTGATGAGGATAATAACAAGACATTGGTCCTTTGTCGGAGGTAAAAATCTTACTCTTTTTTTTATATGTATTTTTTTATAACCACCTAGAATATTCCTAGCCCGATCTAAGATAACATTTCGCCATTTTCATTTCAGATCTTTTGATGGATTGTTCAATCTGTTTACATTGGAGCATCCGATAAGCCGTGCTCCCTCTATACCATAGGCCTGAATGGCACCTCTGCGATCATCACGAGATGTCTACCACCTACGAAGGCACATGCCCAGCTACGTAATAACATTTAGAGGAGATGAGCTTTGTAGATAGGTAAGGTTGAATATATATGTATGGGCAGTTATAAATAAATGGGTCTACGTTTAACATGAAGACTCAACTTTTAATCTTGACGTCTGAATGTCCCATAGATGTTCTATGGACGTCTCTGGGATTTCCCGTGTTGTTATGGATATCTATATCGTGGAAAAACCGTAGTTGACCTGAATTCTTTACAGTTCGCTCGTCCATTCAGCTATCGCGACACGGAGTGGGCAGCTGATACTATAATGATGGATGAGGGTCTGCTAGGGACACCGATTATCAAACGACACGCGGGCACTGTAAAAAAAATCATCTATAAACGATAGAAGGGAAGAATATTGTACGATATATTGATTATCGACGATTTGTCTCCGGTTTACGGTGAGTCGTACGTAGACAGTTTTCTGATGATCGTTAAGGCATATCGGATATAAGATTTTTTTGACACATGGAATATCGGGATATCAATTAAATTTTAATGTGAAAAAGTGGCGTTGAGGTGAACACGTACACTGCCGATCAAAGAATGTTTACTTTTTTCTAGCCAATTATGAGAATTTTGAATTCGAAGATCTTGAATGAGCTTTACCTGCAGGCTTGTCCCATGAGAAATTTCTGTACTGGGGAAAAACGTATCATGTGGAATTTGCTGGATATGCCAGTTGCAGTACAGTTTAGCATAGATATGAGGCGGAATAGATAGATTCGGGTTTACGTTGAATTTTAAAGTAAGAAGCCTCTCAAGCGAATGGCAATCTATCTACGATTTCACGCCTGAATATTATTCGCAAACCCTCTGCTTTACCTGATACAGCTTTCCTTCGGCAATGTCATATAGATATATTTGACTATCGTATGATCATAAAGCATAATACATAGAACAATGCAATTATGGGCAATGGATCATACAAAAATGCGAAATTGTATTTATTTAACGTACAATCATTTCGTGTGGTCATTATTGTTATATATGCATATGTATGTTGTGACGTGGTGGATTTCATCCGTCGTGTCCTCGGCGGAAAATCACGCCGAAACGCGATAGTGGCGTAAGGCCACGGCCAAGTCCAGGCCGGATCCACCGACCGCAAGGGTCTAATAAAGCTTAGGTACGAAATATTATTTTATTATTTTCTTTTGTTTTGCCGTGTACTCTGCCGGAGTTCGAATAGATCGCTCGCTCGCCGTGCCCGAGAAGACGCGGAAAGAGAGAGGGAAGAGCCAGCTGGAGTCCCAGCAGGAGGGGGCTGCGACGCACGAGGGTAGATACCCTGAAGTCAGAGTCGGACCCATGGTCTTGTATACAGGTCTGGACACTTAGTCGAAAAACGCGTGACGATTACGCCACTACCGCAAGAGGCGTTAGTGTCGAAAGAGCCCACGGTAACACTACGCGTGCGCAGTTGTCTCTTACTTGAATACGTAACCTGCATCTTTGTTCGTTGTAATGTGTAATATACCGTGATTGCAATTGAAAAAGGCAATAATGACCAGAAAGTGCATCGTGCCTGCTTGAATCACAATGTTAGGAATTTTCATTTAAAAATCTCGCAGGAGTTACAAATAAATTCAGTAAAAAAGTTACGACACAAGCAAAAATTTACTGTTTTAATTTTCATGACTTTTAGGTGATTTGCTCCATTTAACTTTAGTTTTTTTAATCATGAATTCTTTATTTGTCTAATTTATCAAAATTTTATTTAATTTGCATCGCATCGGTTTTTTTTTGGTTGGTAACTTTCCTTTTGAATCGGAGATAAGAGGTTGCAGTGAATTTACGGATGCGTAGGCGCTGTGTCAGCAGGCTTCTTCGACACTAGCGATTGCAGGCAAAACCGGCAAAACTAGCCGCATTAGGGTTACGAGCTACAACATGGTGAGGATAGGGAAGTGCCCAGATCTGTGTACAAGATCGTGGATCGGGCCAATACCCGGAAGGGACGCCATGTTCAGGGCTCGTTTAGAATCCCCATGACATTGCGCGCGGATTTTCAAACTATCAATCTTTACCATTAACACTATACCACATTACACAATGCGAATGCCTCCCATATATGTATTCACAACCACACGTCCTATTCCGGAAAGAGCATTGAAAATGGCGGAGCCAATCAGTAAGAGGCCCATCATTGGCCCGATCATGGTCTTACATACAGGTCTTGCAACTCGCCTAATTTTCAGTGGTGGGGGTGGTCGTCTTAGAGAAGCAAGGTGCATTTTAACTTTTACTCACAAGCGTCGCTGTGATCGTGTGACCCATCCGACCTATTGTTCCAAATCCCGACACCTCCGCGTAGCTGAGTTAGCCGACGAAGGAACGCGAAGACGAATCGTAAGAACTGATACGTGGTTTCCGTTTTGGGACCTGACGCCTAATAATACCAAAGGTATTTCGAGTGTAGAATCTGATGGCCCCTGGGTTGCCTGGAACGTGTAGGAATCGCGTAGGTTGTGTATCCGATACGGTCGGTCGTTCTTGCATTTTTCGGTGAGGTCGATCGCGTAAAAATGCGTAACAATATATAATAAAAATGTTCGCAATATTGTCAAAGTAATATCAAATAGCAGTAACCCAAGTATCCGTATATTTCTATGCTAGAATCTACAATGCTGTTTAAACTAGGCCAAGTAAACAAATGCAAAACCAAAATCAATAGAATCCTATCTAAATCCAATACTCGAAATGGTTTCACGAAAGTTTTGAATAAAAAGTACGAAGATTTCGTTGTTTTAAAGGTACGCTCCAATCTTTCCGTTTAAACGACGAAAAGTAGATATTAACGTTTCATAGGCCTATCAGCAGTGAAAGGGTCAAAATTACCAGAGGGTGCAGGTCGTTTTTCTCAATGATTATTTTAAACTAGGGTATGTGTATATATATATATTTATATACTCGCTTTACTTTTTATTACCTGCGCGAGGGTAAACGGCAGTTAGTCAATTAAATTCAAAGACTTGAAGTTATCCTGAAGAACTTTTAGGCACCTTCGTACCCCAAGGTATGATTTTTGCAAACACAGAATTATCTACTAAAGATACTCCACCTCTAGGAGCATTTTCCCGTAAAAAGTCGTATACTAAGGAGTACTCCTTTTCTATGGAGGTTAGGTTAGGTTGGAGTACTCCTGCAAGTGGTCCTCGCCAGTTATCTTCTACAGACTACAGCTTTGCATAACGATTATTACTTTGTTTCTAGAAGGAGTTTCTGGAAGGACTAGAGCCGAGAAGACCTGTAGATATTACCTGGTTCCTGCGAGGACGATCAGCCGTGTATTAGTAAGTTAACAATCGTATTATTAAAACGTACTTATCAAATCCAACTGATACTTATAATTACTGTTTGAAAGTGCGATAAGAAAGTTTTGATGTAACGATTCTTTTTCACCGTCACCAATTAGATTTTCCTATATCCCTATAAAAAAAGGACAATATCATTTAAAAGTATACATTG